ACACACACACTATGTGAATATTTGTATCTACCAGGCAAAGGGATCAATTTCCTTTTAGTTCGGCAAATTAAGTTTCTTATTAATTTTTTTTAGTACTGATACTTCTTACCATCTTAAAATAATCACTTTGTAAAAATCCTTCTAATACATATTTTCTCTGCCTCCTACCCTACCTTAAAATTAAACTTCAGAGAGGACTATGTTTGTAGTATCTAACTATTCATCTATGATTCTGTGACAAACTCTTCCAGTCAGATTTTTATCATTACCTGGTAATACCTATCATGAGGTAATCTTTTGACCTTCCCTGGCTCAATACAATGATTATTTCTGAATCTTCGTGCTTAGTGATCTGTGATTCCCCAAAACTTACCTTCCATTGTGTCTTTTGACCAAATGCCATATTGGTCTATCAAACAGCTTAATTTTCTCCCCATTATGAGTTTTAAATATGCAACATAAAAGTTCAGATGTCCAGATATCCAAATCTAATCTGAGACCCCAAAAAGCAGAAACAGAGCAAACCCAAATGAGGATTGATTTCCAGGGAAAATATGCAATGGATAGTTACACTATTAGGGACCTGCTAGGTAGAAGTAGGAAGCGAATCTTTATTTCACAATTCCTGTAATATGAGAATCTTTTTTCATACAATGATTGATGAGGAAATCAAGAAAAAAATAATATAAAGAGCTTGGTGGTTATAAAATTATTCAAAGGCAGAGGAAATAGAAAATGAGATAGCCACGCATTTACTGAGTTAGAGATCACAACATAGTACAAGTAGGGTCCAAAGTTCAAGTCTGCAACTGTTTACTTGATATCAGGATGGCCTTTTGCCAAGCTAACATTCTGTTGAAAGCATAACACCCTGTACCACAGTATGTGTGCATAGACTGTGGGGTTCAGAGCCCTCTAATCTATCACTCATACCTGCAGGTCCTTTTGTCTGATGCTTTTCATGGCGCTTAAAACTGCAGCAGCAAATGAGTCTGGACGATGGAGACTTTTA